TTCTAAACACGTATTTGAAACTGTTACAGATAAACAAACTAAGTGACACCAACAATATTGTGTATAGTGATTCTAAACACATATTTGAAACTGTTACAGATTAACAAACTAAGTGACACCAACTATATTGAGTATAGTGATTCTAAACACATATTTGAAACTGTTACAGATAAACAAACTAAGTGACACCAACTAGACTGAATCCAACATCTAGTGTTTGTATGTTCCCTATTATTCTATTATTTCGTTATTGATACTTCCATTAACAGCATTGGTTAACTGTCTAATATATGTAATTGTATTACTTTAATATTATGTTTTATTAGTGTACTTATATTACAAAGATTGTTTTGCATTGTTAGGTTAATATATGCATTCAGGACTAACCTAAGTATCTGAAGATGCCCGAAAATCACAAGATATTATTGGGATTACTACTTAAAACATCTTGAACAATGAAGGTAACCAAATGAAAACAAGCCATTTTAATCTTTATAAGTAGGATCATATATAAGTATAGTTAATTAGCTATACTCGTTACAAGGTTGATATTTTTAGTTTCACTCTAAGGAGGCAATTTGTTCCGATCAGAGTTGATATTACATATTAACATCTTTCATCATATCACTATTTAATGTAAACTATAAAACCCTAAACAGATTTATCAATAACAAAGTTAAGAATGTCCTTAACTGCTTCATTAGTATTGAAACCTGTAGTGTTACTGACTCCTGTTCCATACCAACATCACTATGTTGTGAGGTATTATTCATGGTTTTAATATCAATTCAGATAAAGCCCATGTCACAACTACCGATAAAAAACAACAACATATAATCAGGTTAACCAGCATTCCTACAAAAGGTAAATTCTAAGTAAATTCTAGATGTTTTTAAGCCCACCAAACACAACATTTCCTTGCCCATTATTTCTCCTTATTACAGCTAGATTAATCAAATTCAGGGTTACTCCTACAAGTATGCATCCTTTGTGTCTACAATTTAAAAATCCCCGACATAACATATGACAGTGTAACTGTTGCCACCATCAGGAAATTGTTTGATGACATCTTTAACCTTAAATTTATTACTTTTGTCACTGTTATTTTCTATCATCATATTTCTGTTGATAAAACTCATTGTTTTCATTTTTATTCATCTTCTAATGGACACAGACTTGGGTAGTAATGACTGATGTAGAGGAGTGTTTGAAATGATGTACCAGTAATCTTTAAGAGGGTTGCTATCAGTTTATGACCCTGCTGAATTACCTTACATTAGTGAAGGAGAACTTCAAGTAGAAATGGAATTACAAAAACTCCTATATATTCTAACTACTTGGTGGACCATAGATCTCAAGTTTTAAACATCACATCCATTTTAGTGGTGCATCCTTTGTCACCATGGATATTCAATTCTTTGTTTTGGGGAAGAATGTAAAAACTAAACACTTGTGGAAAAGTATTTCATTCTTATTTAATTTTGTGTTTGTTTCCACAAGTCATAGTATAAGCCAACTCTACCTGGAAAATAGCAGCCGTTAAAAATCAAATAATAGCGTACAACTGTGTGTCAAATCTTCCCATGAATGTAAGCTATAGAAGAGGCAAATTATGGCCATTCACTGAAAACTGTAGCAAATTGGCTGAGAAAATTCCTCCTGATATTTGTAAGGTGTAGTAGCACCTTTCCCACCATTTCATTAGATCTTTTATCTAACTAACCTTATTAGCCCTGTACAATATTTATCTAACCAACCCTGTACAATGTTTACCTTACCAACCCTGTACAATATTTATCTAACCAACCCTGTACAATGTTTACCTTACCAACCCTGTACAATATTTATCTAACCAACCCTGTACAACGTTTACCAAACTAACCCTGTACAACGTTTACCAAACTAACCCTGTACAACGTTTACCAAACTAACCCTGTACAACGTTTACCAAACTAACCCTGTACAACATTTACCAAACTAACCCTGTACAACGTTTACCTACCTAACCCCGTACAACGTTTACCTACCTAACCCCGTACAACGTTTACCTACCTAACCCCGTACAACGTTTACCTACCTAACCCCGTACAACGTTTACATAACTAACCCTGTACAGTGTTTACCAAACTAACCCTGTACAGTGTTTACCAAACTAACCCTGTACAGTGTTTACCAAACTAACCCTGTACAGTGTTTACCAAACTAACCCTGTACAGTGTTTACCAAACTAACCCTGTACAGTGTTTACAAAACTAACCCTGTACAGTGTTTACAAAACTAACCCTGTACAGTGTTTACCAAACTAAACCTGTACAGTGTTTACCAAACTAAACCTATACAGTAGCTATCTAACTAAACCTATACAGTAGCTATCTAACTAAACCTATACAGTATCTATCTAACTAAACCTATACAGTATCTATCTAACTAAACCTATACAGTATCTATCTAACTAAACCTATACAGTATCTATCTAACTAACCCTGTACAATATTTATCTAACTAGCCCTGTACAATATTTATCTAACTAACCATGTACAATGTTTATCTAACTAACCCTGTACAATGTTTACCTAACTAAACCTATACAGTATCTATCGAACTAGCCCTGTACAATATTTATCTAACTAAACCTATACAGTATCTATCTAACTAACCCTGTACAATATTTATCTAACTAGCCCTGTACAATATTTATCTAACTAGCCCTGTACAATATTTATCTAACTAACCATGTACAATGTTTATCTAACTAACCCTGTACAATGTTTACCTAACTAAACCTATACAGTATCTATCGAACTAGCCCTGTACAGTGTTTATCTAACTAACCCTGTACAGTGTTTACCAAACTAACCCTGTATAATGTTTACCAAACTAACCCTGTATAATGTTTACCAAACTAACCTTGTATAATGTTTACCAAACTAACCCTGTATAATGTTTACCAAACTAACCCGGTACAATGTTTACCAAACTAACCCTGTACAATATTTACAAAACTAACCCTGTACGATATTTACCAAACTAACCCTGTACGATATTTACCAAACTAACCCTGTACGATATTTACCAAACTAACCCTGTACAATATTTACCAAACTAATCCGGTAAACATTGTACAGGGTTAGTTAGGTAAACATTGTACAAAACTAACCCTGTACAGTGTTTACCAAACTAACCCTGTACAATGTTTACCTAACTAACCCTGTACAGTATCTATCTAACTAACCCTGTACAATGTTTACCTAACTAAACCTATACAGTATCTATCTAACTAACCCTGTACAATGTTTATCTAACTAACCGTGTACAATGTTTATTTAACTAACCGTGTACAATGTTTATCTAACTAACCGTGTACAATGTTTATCTAACTAAACCTATACAGTATCTATCTAACTAACCGTGTACAATGTTTATCTAACTAACCGTGTACAATGTTTATCTAACTAACCGTGTACAATGTTTACCTAACTAGCCCTGTACAGTGTTTACCTAACTAGCCCTGTACAGTGTTTACCTAACTAACCCTGTACAGTGTTTACCAAACTAACCCTGTACAATATTTACCAAACTAACCCTGTACAAGTGTTTACCTAACTAACCCTGTACAATATTTACCAAACTAACCCTGTACAATATTTACCAAACTAACCCTGTACAATATTTACCAAACTAACCCTGTACAGTGTTTACCAAACTAACCCTGTACAGTGTTTACCAAACTAACCCTGTATAATGTTTACCAAACTTACCCTGTACAATATTTACCATACTAACCCTGTACAATATTTACCATACTAACCCTGTACGATA